AGCCAATTCCTGCTACCACTAATCCTATTATCATAATTTTAAGTAAAATTAATATTTTTATCTTGCTTTTAATAAAACTATCTATATTTAGGACTAATAAGTAAGTTTTGTTGGGTAAAATGCTTAAGTTTGGAAGGGATTTTAAGGGTGGTGTAGTTTGGTATTTAAAAGTAATTGTCTGATGAATACTTAATAAATTTTACTTGCGATTGCCCCTTTTTACATCTCAAGAATAAATGGTTATTTTTTCATCTTGTTTCATTTTTTTTGTAAATATTTACTCCTTTAGTAGTTTTAATAAGTTGGTCAGTATTTTTTAATCCCTCTTTTTGCCGGTAGCAAGTATCACAATAGAGATGGTTTTCTATCCTACCTAGACATTGATAAAAAAATTCTTTTTTACATCTATCGCAATTGTCAAGTTCATCTTCCTTTTTTTGGCAAGTATTGCATCATTTGATTATTTTTTTAACCATAACAAGTTATTTTGAATTATTATAGGGGGGGTTTTTTGCTTCCCTTTTTATTTAGGTGGGATTTGGATTTGAGAAGTGGTTGTTTCTTGTTCAGTTTGAGTGTCTTCGAGATTTAATTCATCAAGACCAAAATCATCTTCTAGAGAATAACTAGTTTCTGGTATTTCTATGATTGCTTCTAAATTGGAAGTTGGTTTAATTTTTTGTAATAATTGAGTGATTTGTTGAGTATTGATGGCTTTACTATGGGTAATAGCAGTAGGATGGATTTGATAAGGAGTGTTTTGGGAGAAAGTGTGGTATTCTTGTTCGAGGGCTTGGTATTGGTGGTAGAATTCAGTTTTTTCTTTATTTTCATATAAAATTTCCTCATACCAACTATAAATAATCCCTAACTCCTCAGCATTTGGTCTTTTTTGGGGATCAGCCTCCCAACATTTTTTAATTAAGTCTTTTAATAACTGAGGTAGAGGAACTTTATCTATCTCCGGGCGTAAACCATTACATACTTCCAAGGCTAAACCAGTATCATTTAAGTTTTTATCCGCATAAGGATAAGCCTGAGCCAAGTATTCGTAAGCAATTATACCCCAAGAGTAAATATCACTGGCTTGAGTATAAGGTTGACCTTGTAAAACTTCGGGGGCTATGTAAGGCAACACCCCAAAAATTTGCCCAACTTTTTTTTGATAATTAACTGGTTGACATAAACCGAGATCGGTGATCCTAAATCTTCCTACTATATTCCCACTATGGAAATCCCGATGGACTAGGTTTTGTTCGTGAATAACATTTAATCCATTAGCAATAGTTCTTAAATTATAAATTTTATCTCTCAAACTTAATCCCTTATTATTTTGTAAAATTTGTCTTAAATTGCCACCTTCCTCATATGAAATTACCATTAGATAATTTTTAGTTACCGGGTCTTGGGAAATACCATGGCATTTTACAACCCTATAATCATCATCAACCAACTTAGTATTAGCAATCTCGTTTAAAAATTCTAAGGTGATGTTTTGGGAGTTAGTAATAGATTTGAGAACTACAACTTTATTCTGTTCATACTGATCATACTTTTTTTTATTTTCCTTTACTCATTCAGCCTTATAAATCTTACTAAAACCTCCTTCCGCTAAAAGTTTAGGCTGACCTTGTTCATCTTTTTCTATTTCAAATTGTTTATAAGGAATTCATTTTATTTTTTTTTCTTGTTTTTCAATAAACTTCTTTACTAATTCTCGCCCAGTTAAGTGTTTTATATCTGCTTGTCATTCTTGGTCAGCACAAGGTTGGCATCAATTTTTACTAGTATTAAATTGTTGACATTTATGACATCAACCATATTTTTCGTATTTCTCTAATTGGGAAACAATTTCAGTTAATTTACAATCTGGTCTTTTATCAGTAGAGTATTCAATTTTCTCTAAACTCCGAGGTAATTGCTCGATATTGACTTCATTTAGATCCGTGTTGCTAAGCTTAAGTTCTTTTAATTGCTTCAGATTACTTAAATAATCTAAGGAACCAGTAAATTTGTTGTTATTTAAATGAAGTTTTTCTAAATTAACCGCCTCAGTTAAAAAAGCTAAGTCGCAAGAGAAGTTATTACCTCCTAACTTTAATATTTTTAAATTAGTAGGATTATTAGGTAAAGTGAGATTGGTTAGTTGATTTTTTCAACAATCAATCTTCTCTAACTGAGAACAATTACGCAAATTGAGGGAGGTTAGTTTGTTATCATTACAATATAATCTCTTTAAATTAATAAAATCCGAGAGGTCAAGATTTCCTTCGAGTTTTTTACCTTCAATATCTAACTTAGTTGTTTTTTCTCTTGCTTTTTTAGTAGGATAGTGATAATTAATATCCCTTTCAGCATTTACCAAACTAATCTTAGTCCTTTCTGGCTTGTTTTTAAAAGTTAGTTTGGTTTCATCTACTTGGAGAGAAATATATACTTTTACATTTGCACCATCTATATAATTCTTATAAGTAAAATCCTCTAAATCCAATTCCCCTTCTAAATTAGGTTCAGTGAGATAGATTTCTTCTACTTGACTTCTTTTTTCTTTGGGATAATTCTGATCCAATCAGGCTTGGCTCTTTTGGCTTTTATCATAATATTCTTTTTTTAATTCCTCTAAATTTAAATCTAGGCTAGGTTCACAACCTTTACTTTTTAAATAAGCAGCAAAACCATAATCATCTAGATTTAAACCTAACTTGATTCATTCTTGACATTGTTCATAACTAAATTTTTTATATTTTCATTCTCTTACTAACCCAAGAGTAAAGTCCAAATGAATATCTTCTCATTTTTTTCATTGTGAGTAACATTCTTCTGAACAAAAATCTAAGTCTTTTTCAGCATCACTAAATCAAGTTATTTCTTCACCCTTAATTTTTTTACTGCATTGGTCACAGTTTACATTTTTCCTTGGCATATTTATTTACTTTTATATTATTAGTTTAAAATTATAGTTTTCACAACCACTACAAAAGCAATTAAGCCAATTTATAACAAATTAGGAGTGATTGACTTGGTTGATTATGCTAATTTGCTATTTTCTTATTTTCTGACCATAGGTATTTACTATTTACTTTTCTTATTTTTACTTTTTATAACTAAAATAACTACTAAACCAATTAAAACTACTGCTCCAATTGCTAAACCAATATAAAGAGCAGTTTTATCAGTTGGTTTAGCATTATTAGCAACTTGCTGTTTTTTTAATAACTCTTCTAACTGCTTCTTTTTTTCAGATAAAAGGGCTTCTTCAGCCTTAGTTCGAGTGGATTTATTTTCTAATTGTTTGATTTCTTTTTGTAAGATGGTGATTTGGGTATTTAGGGGTAAAGATTTAGTAAGGGTTTTTTCTCGGTCTTGTAATTCTTTTAATTTCTTTCTTTTAGATTCTAATTCGGCTTGGTTTTTAGCAGGATTAGATTCTAATTGGGTGATTTCAGACTGTAATTGGTTCATATTTGATTGAATTTGCTCTCTCTCTCTCTCTCTCTCTCTCTCTCTGCTTACAGTCCTTGCATAGTAATTCTTTTAGATTTTTATTTGCTCCACATTTACATTTATCAGTAAGCATAGAGCAGCAATCAGCATCAAGAATACGAACATTATGCCTTCAAGCATTACCATCTCATTCTCAAGCAGGCTTAGAAGTTTTACCACATTGACAAGTTGCTTTAGCATTGGGATCATAACCAGCAGGAGTCATTAATTGAGGTTTACAATCTTCACAAGCCATTATTTCAGGTTTGTTTGGATTACTATTAGCCCCACCTGTTAATGTCTTCTTACAAAAAGAACATTTGAGGCAACCTACACAGTAATAGTCATTACCTAAACGACTTCATTGCTGTCCAGGCTGATTTAGATCTGCTTTACATTTTTTACAGTATTTCATAGTCTATAACTTAATTTTATATAATTTTGGAATTTATCTTCTTATTACCTCACAAACTTATAGAGATATGTTATGAATACTTATAGAAAACTATCTATTATCTAGAGTAGATAGTATATAAGTAGTAAAAATATAATCAAAAAAGTGGAGAAGGAACGGAGAATAAATTTTCACTCCACTCAAAATTGTTGTAAAATTATAATATAGAAAGTAAAAGTAGTCATGAGCGATATGGTAAAAAAACTAACCCATTGTTCTAACTGTGGAAAAAGTTCATTTGTCTGAATAGGAGAAGGAGAAAAGCAACAAACTCAATGCTTTAACAGTCAAGAATCGCATTATCTATGCTGATAAAAGCCCTTATGAGAAGAAGATTGCTTTGTTTAATTTCTTAAAAGACTTGGAGTTAGGAGAATTAGAAGAAAATAAGAATAAAAAAATAAACCTTTTACTATTAGGTAGAGTTTACAATGAACTTGCTAAAGAAAATTTAAGAGAGTATAGGAAATTGGAAAGTGAGTTATAACTACTAATAATTTCTAGTGAAAGAGGAAAATAATTTTGCATAAAGTAATACTCCCATTTTTTTACCAATACTTACACCAACACCCGCTACCTTAGCTTCAACACCACCAGCACCAAATGAAACACTACTACCACCATCATATCCAACATTAGCCGAAAAACCTCCTGTTTGAATGCTTGCTAATTCCTTATTTCTAAACTCTGAAAACTCGCCTTTTAACTTTCTTTTTTAAACTTTTTTTCACTGTTATCAAGCAGACAATTATTCCTAAAAAAACTACACTAACAATAATAACAAGATTACTTCTCCTCGCTTTATGAATGTAGACAGGGATATCTACTGCACCTTTAGTTTCCTTTCCAGTAGCAATATATCCCGAATTTACTGCTAAATTTTCGTTTTTAATTTTTTCCTGAAATTCACCGTATTTATCATGCCAAATTTTATCATGACCTACTCCTACAAAAAATTTCTCTGAGTGAGGAACATGCTGAGGATTTTCGAATACTTCTTTAGAAGCATGGGCTAATTCGTGGGCAATTATGTCGCAAAAAAAGCCAGGATTAGTTTTCTCTTTTTCAATGATTGGTTCAATAACAAAACTAACACATCGATTATCACCCTTGCCCTTAATGACATATCCTAATTCCTCCACTGTCTCCTTGTGGTTGTCTACAAACCTAATCTTTACATCCTGTTGAGGCAATAAAGAAGATACTATTTTTTCTACCAAATCTCTTTCTTTACTATATTTTTCAAGCGAAATATCTTTGAACTCATCTTCAATGAAAGCAAAAGGAGCAGATCAACCACAAGAAACACAAAAATAATATTCAACTAAGGTTCAATTAGAAAGTTTTCTCTTTTCTTTTTTCTCATCAGAAAGCCACCTCGTTTTTATAAAATTTTTACATTCGGGGCAACGATCATATATATTTTTGACTACGCAATTTTTAATTGCCATTTTTTGGTTTTTCTAAATACTTGCTTCTTTGTAAACACTTCCCCTGTTGTAATCGCTTATTCAACCGTTAAGATAACCAATAGTTCGATTGGTTCTTTCAGAATCAGGTTGCGGATCGTGATGAAGAAAACTATGCCCCTCGTATGAAATGTATATATTTCCGTATTCTAAATCTCGACAAAATTCTCTTGCTTCATCAATGTTTGATATACTTACTTGTCATGCACTATATAATTTTCCACCTTGAAAAAATCTGCTAAATGCTTGTTCTCAACTTGCATAACCTTTATTTTTTATATATTCCTTATCAGTATAAAAGTAATAACTTCCCAAGACTTTTAATTTGATTTTAAAAGTGCGATTTCGCACTCTTTCTTGTTCTCGAAGTTGGTTTTGCCAATATTGTCTTTGCAATTCTTCTACAGAACATTTACAATTAGAACTAGTGCAAGGTCCATATCCTTCTTTATTTTCACTCACATAACCACTACCACTTTTATTAATTACCTTTGCCCTAGCAGCCGGAGATAAAGGAGATTTCTTAATTTCATAATCTTTTAATTCTTGGACTAATTCAATTGGTTTTTTGTTTATTAAATTTACAAGATTTTCGTTTACCATATGTTTTTAAATATTTTCTTTATTTCTTAAAAATTGTGTATTAATACCTAGTAGTTTCAGACTAGATAACTGTTGCCAGTTCTTTTCCTTAATTTCTAATTAGTGGAACCAGCTAAGAAATCTTTCGGATTATTCCGAAGGATTACCACGATTTTAATAAATATTTGGTAAATCCAATTAGAACTTAACTTTGCCCTGTTTTACTTCCGGTAAAGTCCGCTACTAATCCTTTGGCATGCTTCAAAAGACTTTCCAGCGAAAGTGTGAAGTATTTTTTTTACTAACTTTTACCATGGATAAAGAAGTAGGGAGAAAATATAACCCTTGAATGGATTTTATAAACTTTTGCTTGAAACTTTGACATCAATTTATTAATTTAATTTTAATATTATAAAAACTTTTCTTACTGAATAAGTTTTATTATATATTTTACTAATTCTCCTTCAACCACTTTTCCGTTTTCTCTTTTTCCTTTTCATAATCTTTTAATTGCTTTTCCAAGCGGTCTAATTGTTTATGGAGGAATTTGCGTTGGCTGGTTAGTTTGTAGATTTGGGTATTTAAAAAGCGAACATATTCTTTTTTGCGGGTGATTTAAGAATAAAATAATCAGAGATTATTTATTTCCTCAGGGGTGGGTTTAGTTGGCATTAAGGGATTTTTTTAATTTTTCCTTAAATTATTCTGTAATCTTTCTAATTCTTTTACTTCTGGTAGGGTTCATAAATATTCCTCAATCTCTTGGGTTAGTAATTTCGTGCCTTTCATCATGCTTTTTAGTTCATTCTAGGTTGAAGTCTCCTAATAAGCAATGGGCTAATTCATGAGCGAGAGTGTTAATCAAATTAGGAAAGTCAAAAGTAGGATAAGTTGCTAAGCCGGTTAAGTGGTGAGTATAATTGACATTTAGATAAATTGCTTTGCTGACAAACTCAATATTACCAACTTTTTCAATAAATAGTCTGGTTCAGCCTTTTCCGTTGTAATTTATGTCTCAGCCACCGAAGCTAATGTAGGAACTGGCGAAAGAATGAACTTTGCCGTGAAATCCAGACTGGGAAAGCCTGGTTCTTTGGTGTTGATAGGTTGAATTGATTAGGTGTTCGAGGAAAATATGAAAAGAGCCGGGCATTTATCTTTTTTTGTTTTTTCAACTTTTTCTAGTTCGTTCAATGTCTTCATGACTACAAATGACTTCTACGGCGGTTAACGGCTCTTTTTTTCCGGCTTTCTTTTCCTTTTCCATTTCTGCAATTCCTTTTTTTAGACTACTTACTAATTTTGCTCAGTTTTTGTCCTTGTTTTTTCTTTTCGCTACCATAATATCTAATTTTACCTTTGCTTGTTCTCTACCTTGCTAATTTTTTGCTTTCCAAGGTGGTGATTGGATAATTTGAGCCTTGTTTGATTCTTGTTCTAATTGCTGGTAATAGCTGAGTTTTTGTCACTGGTGAAGTAATTGGCTGATGGTTTTTAATTGTTGCTGGTAATGGTCGGCTCGTTGTTTTTCTTGGGTGGCGGTTAGTTCTAATTTGGTCTTTTCTTGGGCGGTTTGGGCTAATTTACCTACCAAAGCATCCCGTTCAGTTTGGATTTGTTTTAACTGCTCCTCTAATTGTTTAATTTTGACTAGTAAAATTGCTTCTTTGTCGGTTGGTGTGTGGGTGGTTAGTGCTAACGGCGGACTAATTTCAGGTTTAGGTTGTTTTTTATTGTCAGTAATAAGAAAAATTTTCCCTGTTTCCCCTGATGGTTTGGGCTGGGTTTTGCTGGTGGGCGGTTTAGGCTGATAGTCAATTTTAGC